TATATAAAAATGCTATAGATTTCTGGATATTAATTTTGTATCCTGCAACTTTACTCTATTCGTGTATTACTTCCAGAAATTTTTTCATAGAAAGCATTGGGTCTTCTATGTATACAGTCATGTCCTCTGCAAATAACACTTGAAAAATGTTGCAACCCCTACGTTCTCACTTGTCATCAGAAGCTGGCTAGAATTCATATCTTTTTTATTCTCTATATTGTGTTGTATATTATGTGTCTCTCCCTCACCCACAGCTGCTCTTAAGATTTTCTTCTTAACGCTGCTTCTGAGCAATACCATTTGATGCACTCATATAATTATGCACCTATGTAGTTATTCTTTAATATTTATTTAATTTTATTTATCACTATTATTAATATTTTAAAATTTGACCAGACACACACACACACACACACACACACACACACACACACACACAGAGAGAGAGAGAGAGAGAGAGAGAGGGAAAGGGAGAAAGGAATCTGCCAGATCCGGGACTCAAACCATGATCAGCCATGTGGGAGTCCAGCACATCAACACTACATCACCTGCCAACCCCACACCTGTGTAGTTTTCTTTTTTTTCCCCTTGTGTTTGGGGTTCATGGAGCTTTTAGTTTATAGTTTTTATCAAATTATAAGAGTTTTTGACCATTAATTCTTTAAAAAAATTTTTTATTCCTTACTCTGTCCTTTCCTTCAGGGACTTTTCTTAGATAAATATACTGCAATTGTCCTATAGCTTAGTAATATTCTGTTATTTTTTTTCCTTTAATCTCTGTTTCATTTGGAGCAGTTTTTAGGTGTGTGTGTGTGTGTGTGTGTGTCTGTGTGTGTGTGGTTTTGTTTATTTTTAGACAGGATGTTGCTGTCTTCCCAGGGTACTCATGATCCTCCTGCCTCTTGTCCCCAGGATCTGGGTTTACAGGTATGTGCCATTATGCCTGGCTTTCATTTTGGGTAGTTTTTATCATGCATTCAAGTTCACTAATCTTTTCTTCTGCAGTGTCTGATCACCATGAATTCTTTTCAGTGTATTTTTAGTTCAGACAGCCCAGTGTTCATTTCTAGAGGTTTGATTTAAAAAATCTCCTATATCTTTACATTTCTTTTTGAAAATGTGGAATACAACTATACTGTATTTATTTCTTTGTTTATTAATTCTAATATCTTTGTCAATTCTGAGTTGGTTTCAATAAGTTGATTTTCTTCTCATTACAGATCATATTAGCCTGCTTCTTGGTATGCCTGTAATATTTAATAAGATTTTAGATTTTATAAGTATTACCTTGTTGAGGAATGGATATTTTTATATATTTATAGAATATATATATTTTTATATATTTATAGAATATATATATTTCAGATTTTATAAGTATTACCTTGTTAAGGAATGGATATTTTTATATATTCTGTAAATATATAAAAATATCCAGTCTTAATTACTTGGAAAACCAATCCTGTTACGTCTTTTTTAAAGATTTGTTAAGTTGGAGCTTTATTTATTTATTTTTTTCCGGAGAGGTTTTTGCTACAGGGCGCGTGTTTGCACCAGAAAGACAGAGAGATACAGAAAGACAGAAAGTGAGAAATTACCCCCCAGGGGATGGCCATGCCACAATCCCTTCTCCTCCATTCTCTTCTCGGGATCCTGGGCATGCATGCACATGTGCCCAGCATGAGTTTAAGCCATTGGGTCTGGGACTTGAACTATGGTCAACTTCATGGGAGTCCAACAACGAAGCCATTACATCATCTGCTGGTCCCAGGTTGGATTTTTTAATATAGGGCTATTCTCAACCATTGAGGCAAGACTCAATACCCCTAATTATGGGATTTTCCATCTGGCTGATAGGAGAAGGCACTATGTATAACAAGTGCTGTGTGACCTCTCGGAACTGTTCTCTAATCTTTTTGAGTGGTTCTTTTCCCCACTTAGAACATTTCATCCACACTGTGCTCACCAGCACTCTGGTGAATACTAGAAAGTCCTCTACAGATCTCTGGAATTCTGTCAGTGCCCATTTGCATGAAGAGTCCTCTGTTATTCCTGATCCTCAGCTCCATCTCCTCATCCCAGGGAGCAGATCTGCTGGCCATAGCTTGGATTTCTGCTCCTTGCCTGTGCACTGGAAGCTCTCTCAAGACAGTAAGCTGGGGAAACTGCTGGGCCCAACTTATCCCTTCCTTCCTCCCAGGGATCATGATCCTTCATTGCCCGATGTCCAGTGCCTTCATACCACTGTCTAATTTTTTTTTTTAAATTTCTGATGGAACTGTGAAACTCAGACTCTGTTACCACATTGTGGCAGAGGAGAATACTTAACTGGATTTCTATTACTTCTAAAGGAACCGTGTTTGAGCCCATGCGATTAGATAATGTATCAGTTATATTTTATAGATAATCATAATTATTGCTTTATTAATGAATGATGGATAAATCACATTAAAATGTTGAAGATAAAACATTTCAGCTTTTTTGAAATACTTTTTCAGTGTCAGCTAAAGGGAAACTGTTACCACAAGTTTACTTTATCAAGAATCAGGAAGTACTTACTGTGAGATCAGCATTAGATTAAAAAAAAATGTTTTGAGTAGAGATGCTATATATTAGGTATCTGGCTGGAAAACGTACTTACGCCAATTGCCTGGTTGGACAAAGCTTGCTATATTAACCTTCTTCATCACTTGGCATGATGTCAGGTGCTAATAGCACAAGTGACTTATCACCAAGCACTAGAAATGCTTTAGCATTTTTAATGTCCTTACTAGCTTTTGCTATAATGTTGGGAAATGCTGTGGTCATTTTAGCTTTCATCGTGGACAAAAACCTTAGACATCGAAGTAATTATTTTTTTCTTAACTTGGCCATTGCTGACTTCTTTGTGGGTAAGTGATGTATCTTTTTTTAAGATGATCTTTTAAAATTAATTTCCTAAACTATAAAAAAGTTTTTGTTATTTCACAGGGCTACATGTGATTGGAAAATTTGAGAACAAAAAATTTGAGTATTAAAGTTTGGGAGGTTATATGGCACTTTAAGAAAATGTTATACATATGTGAATGTGTCACAGGTGAATTTTCAAGTGAAAACAGATTATTTTCTTTTATATAAAATAAAAATAAGTCTTGAATAGTTCTGAAATTGTCTTAATGTAAGACTTATTTATTTCTGGAACTATTTTTCTTGTTTAGATGTATAAGGATAGGTATTTCTCTTTAAATATAGTTTTCTTAGTGTCACAATGTTGGAGTAGTAGGCAATAATGTATATGCACAATTAGAAAACAGAATATTCAGGTCAATTAAATAGTATTATTTTATAATATGGCATAGATTATCATAAAATGCACTCAATGATAAACTCCTTTGCATATAATATGTTGTCATAGCTTTACAGAGTTATAATAGACCATAGAAATTAATCTTTGAGAATATGCACTTCGTAAATTTTCACTGCCTGACTGTTGTAATTTTAAAGTAAAGCTTATCATAACAAGTAGACATGTAGAAATGTCAGTTGATGATATTGTTTCATAGAAGCTTCTAGTATAATTCACATTTAGATTATCGTGTTTATAGCTTCATAAAGCTTGTATTTATGTTAAATTGAAACATAACTCATAGAATGCTTGGTACTTTGCCTGGAACACAATGCTTGCTCAACATACGTTAGTTCTCTTCTCTTGATTTCTCTGTAGATAAGTGTTAACCCAAACCAAGTGTTGGTGTAGTTCTAGTTATGCGTAAGTACTGTCAGATATGCAAGTTCTACTAGGTATAGGAGATCCATGAAAGAATAGGTTAGTCTCTTCTTACTCTAAAGTTTCAATGTAGCAGAGCAAATAAAAGATGTTCACAAATGACCATACCAGAGTAATGTGAGATCACAAGAAGATCTAACACTGCCATGGCACTCAGAGGTGGGTTCAAACACATTTAGTTAATGAACTTTGGTATTCAAGATGAACCTTCAAGGATGGGCAGGGTTTCCATAGGCAGATCTGGGCAGGAGAGGAATATTCCAAGAATCGGCAAAGACAGTGCTATTAAAAAAAAAAAAAAAAATCTTGTGCATGTTGTCCTGAGTGTAAACTTAAGACTGGCTGATATGCAGGTAGTTGTATGGGAACAGGGATAACACTGGAATCTATATAGTGAACACCTTGAGTGTTCAGACTCACTAATGTGAATCTGGATTGAAGTTTATTCATAAGGCAGTGTGGAGATTTAAGGATTTGAGAACATGTGAGTAATTGGATGCATTGGATGCTTTGCCTTAGAAGCATCACGAGAGCAATAGGTGGTGGGAGAAGCAGCAGAACAAAGTAGCCTGGTTTTAGAGACAATCCAGTGTGTAGCAGAAGTCTGTGGTAAGGCTCTGAGCTGGGATGATGGTGTAAAGGCAGGCCAGGAGGTAGAGCTGCAAATGATGGCACCAGGCAAGACAAAGAAAAATAATTTGGGGTTCATGGACTAAGAAAAGTGTGGCATTCTGGCATTCTTAATAGAAATCGGAAGCACTGTGGGTAGGTAGTTATGATTCCATTGTCCTGAGAATTCTGAGAAACTACTAGACAGAGAGGTTGATTTATGAGTCATAGTATAGAAAGGACAGGGTCATTAATAAAGGGGGCTAACCAATATAGATAGGTCCTTTCTTCCTTCCTTCCTTCCTTCCTTCCTTCCTTCCTTCCTTCCTTCTTTCCTTCCTTCCTTCCTTTCTTTTTCTTTCTCTTTTCTTTTCTTTTCTTTTCTTTTCTTTTCTTTTCTTTTCTTTTCTTTTCTTTTCTTTTCTTTTCTTTTTTTTCTTTCTCTTTTCTTTTCTTTTCTTTTCTTTTCTTTTCTTTTCTTTTCTTTTCTTTTCTTTTCTTTTCTTTTCTTTCCTTCCTTCCTTCCTTCTTTCCTTCCTTCCTTCCTTCTTTCTTTCTCTTTTTTTTTATTTTTGAGAGAGATTTTTGCTATAGGGCATATGTGCTTGCTAGTGAGACAGAGACAGAAAGTGAGAAATCACCTTCCAGGGGGATGGCCTCATTGTAATCCCTTCCCCTCCATCCTCCTCCCAGGATTTTTTTTTTAAGAGTTATTTTATTTAACTTTATTATTATTCGTTTTTAATTTGACCAGGAAGAGACAGAGAGGGGGGGTGGAATGAGAAAGCAAGCTGTCAGGTCCAGGACTCATACTGTGATTGGCCATGTGGGAGTCCATAACTTTAAGCACCATGCCATCTGCTAGCCCTGAAATGTATTTTCTTAAAAATCAATATTCTTGTCTTTCTGGTGAGCACATGCGCCCTATAGCAGAAACTGCTCTCTCTCTCTCTCTAAAAAAAAAAAAAAAAAAATCAATAGTCTTGGGACCAGCAGGTGGCATGGTGGTAGAGGCACTGGACTTCCACATGACTGACTGACTGTGGTTCAAGTAGTTCTGGACCCAGCTGCTTGAAAATCATGGCAGGCATGAGTGTATGCATGCTTGAAATTCCAAGAAGAAAATGGTGGAATTGTGGTGTGGCTATCCCCCAGGGATGATTTCTCACTTTCCCTCTCACTATTTTTTTCTCTCTCCAACAGGCACATACACCCTATGGCAAAAACCAAAAAAAAAAAAAAAAAAAAAGCAACAGTCTTCCCATTTCTATCCTCAGTTCTCTCCAAGTAGTCAATGTTAACAGCTTCATGTAGATCCTACCACATCATTCTCTGTGCTCACATAAACATGTACGAATATACAAGCATGCTTATGTGAAGTGAACATAGTGGTTATTCTGCTATAAATGCACTCATCCTGCTCTTCTTTACAGAACTGATGCTACTTAGTACTTAAAGTAGATTATACATTTTAACTAATCCAAGGGGAGTGAGGCCTGACTACCCTGGGGTAGAGAGATATGGAGAGAAACTGGGGCTTGAAGCTTTTGAACAAAGATGGTACGAAATGTGTCTGTGACCAGCCCAAGGTCAGTATCATGGCAGCCCCACCACCAAGGGTTTGAACACCATAACACACAGGTGTGGCTCAGCTATGAGAAAAGCCTCTGTGGATGGAGTTATTCACCTGTTCTTGTGCCTCCGCTCTGCCATGAGCAGGTGGATGGGAAAGGAATTGGCTTTGCTCCTGATGAGGACGTGTGGGACAGGTCAGAGACTCTACTAGTCTGGCTTTTCATCCTTTACATCTCCCCTGCCCCTTGCCAGCTGCATCTATCATAGAGTGCATTTAGTTAATACTTGCCTTGATGCAAGAATTACAACAAACCCCCAAAAGCTTTAAGTAACAGGATTTGAGTTTTCTGTCAAGGTCCTCCTTTCTCTTTGCCATACTCTGATGTGTGCCTTTTGACCCTGAGCCTAGAGGAATGGATAGGGGTGGGGTGGGGTGGGCAGAAGTCGTGAGGCATTTTGTGTGGCTGTAAGTCAGTGACTCTTAATATTTGAGGTCATGAGACCCAGAGCTCCAGACCATGTGATGATAACAGAGCCTCACACAAGAATGGCCTTGTGAGCTTTCTGACCAAGTGCCCTCATCTCACAGGTTTCAGAACTGCCTCCTGTTGAGAATCTACCTTCGTGTGAGCTTCCCAGGCTGTTTTTACTGGTGGAAAACAATGACTTATTAAGGAAAAATTCCAGTGCCAGCTATACTGAATGATATATAAATGAGATCTATGAAGTCTGTATAATATCCTATCCATATTTATATCAATAGCTATAAAATTGGTCTCACGTGGCTCATGTTTCCATCTGTGGATGGTTACCTTCATATCTACGTGTCGTCTGAGCATTTTTATGGCCTCTACCACACTGGCATCAATAGATGACCTGGAAAGGATCTTTAGGAATGAACGGAGGTGGCTGTCAGCACCCCCGGACCTAATTATCAGGATGACAGTTTATCCTCAATACTTCAGGCCCCAGTTCAGGACTCTTTTCTTGCCCTCTGTAGTAATGAGCTCAGTCTAACTGTACCAAAACAACTGAATTTATTTTGTCACAGATCTGGAGGCTAGGACATCCCAACTCAAGATTCAGGTCGGTTCTATGCGCGGTGAGGGCTCTCTTCCTGGCTTGCAGATAACTGCATTCTCACAGCTTCTTCACATGGACTTTCTCTGAGTGTACACGAAGAGGGTTCTTTGTTGTCTCTTATAAGGTCATTATTCCTTTTGGATCAGGGTCCCATCCTTAGGCTCTGTATTGCCTTTAATTTCTTGCTTAGAGATTCCATTTCCAAAAATGGACAAACTTTAGGTTAGGGTTTAATATATAAATTAGGGGTTATGTGGGGAGGCATTCAGTCCAAAACACCCTATCATCCACACAGCTCCCCCTTCTTTTGATTGCCATTTGTCATGGAAGGCGTGACTTCTTTGCTGGCTGAGAAAGAAGAGGTACTGCCAGATTTGTGGTCATTTTAAAGCAGGCTGGGCTTCCCTGTCCTCATCTGTTCATTTATCCCACAGTTATTTATTTTGAAATAGGTTTATTTCTGAGGGGCCGGGAATATAGCAATAAAGATACAGTTAAAAAATAATCCTTGCGAGGTGATGATCGAGGTGCTGCAGGTGCGAACGGGAGCCTGGAGACTCGGAGCCTGAGCTTCTGGGCATGTCCGGCGTGTTTCTCAAACGGCCTTCCCTCCCGGTCCTCCATGTCGGATCCAAACTTTGCCACCATGTCAGGGGCTGGCCCCATCAGCATGTGGTAACTGCTGCTCCCAAGTCTACTGGCCCAGAGCTGCTTTGTCTCCCGGGAGAAGGAAACCTGCCATCTCGGGGCCGTTTTCCTTTACCAGAGCCCTCACACCCTGCCCCTTACCACAGGGGGCCTGGAGCAATATGGGTGCTTACTCCATCATGGCATGCAGATTAATTAAGTAGTGCAGGA